TGGACTCTCTACCTACCTGCAAAAGGCACATGATGCCTCTGCCTGTCCCTCTGACATCTGTAAAAAGACAGTAAAAACTTACAAAGCTCCCACCCATCTACTGCTCATCTGGCAAACAATTATTTCCTGATCCTTTTTTCTTGTTTGTTGTCTTTCTTGTCTTCAGTGGTTATTCCATCCTAGATTCTTTAGCATTTATCATACTGGCTAAGATGGAGGTCTATGGACCCTTTCTTCTGTCAACAATTATTAAAAGAAGGCACACTAGATTGCTGCTTCTGTGGTGGACTGGAACATGGCTAATACATGAAAGAGCTAAGAGCTCTTCCCTCTTTCTCATGGTGCTGACACTTCATGCATGGTTGTGCTCTCCTCTGCCTGTCTATCATTCCCAGCCATTTCCTGTTTCAAATGAGATCCAGGATATCACTGCAGCAGAGACACTGGAAAACATCACTCCATGCACTGCAGCTACTGCTGTAATGGCCTCTTCCAAAGTGGTCTTCTCCTGCCTGTAAGTGACCTACCTTAGATGGCAGTGCATCTTCTGCTGCAGAAACTTCATTGTATTCTCTTAATGTTTCTCTTTCCCTTGACTTGTTATCTTCCATATGGATCTCTTCAGATATCCTGTGTCACATCAATGCCTCCTGATTTTTCTGGTTCTCATTGATTACCTGTTGATCTCCCAGTTCTCTCATATTTGTATTTCTTCTTCTTCTTTCAACGTACCAGCCGTATCCCACTGAGGTGGGGTGGCCCAAAAGAAAAAACTAAAGTTTCTCCTTTTATTTAGTAATATATACAGGAGAAGGGGTTGTATTTGTATTTGTCTTCACAAAATAAGCTTCATTATACTGCTGATGTTGCTGTTTCCGGCAATCTGTTGCCCCATATTCAGATGCCTCATGCAATGAAAATATGTTCCTGAAGTGTACTGATGTTCAGTACTCTAGGTTATCATATCAATCTTCACTGAATTATTCTGTTACCTGCAGGAAAGTAATATATCATCTGTTCCCTATAAGCCTCCCTTTCCCACTGTCTATTTTATGATCTTCAGGTCTTAATTTTATCTTTGCCTAAACTGTTTCTGCTTCTGTGATACTTTGCAATCACTTCCTTTGGGGCAAGTTTCACTGTGACTCATGTCTGTCCATTGTAGCCTACCACCATGTATAAAGATGTTATTTCTGATGGGGTAAAACTTCTTCGGAGGCAAGCCTATATTTATTTGGTTATGGTACAGACAGTGTGTTCTATGCTAGGCTAGTCAGGTCCCATAACCTCACAGGAGAGAGTGGAACAGAGAGCACATCTCGCCTCTAGGCTGTCTGTTGTTAAAGTGAGAATGAGGCAGCGACTCATGCAGTGAGCTCAAGATAGGCCTATGCCCACAAGATGGCAGCACCTGCCTAGTGGCATGGCATGAAATATAAATCACAACAGCAGTACACCAGTGGGCTTTTCCTCTCCTCCCACCATTGCTGTCAATTATGGGAAATGATACTTGCATGTATATTCAGTGGGCACACAAGACTCTCATGAACATCGCAGAGAGAGGCATGCAAAGCCACTCTGATAATAACATTTCTTCATCAATCTCCCTGTTAATCATAAAATATGCCAACTTCATTTCAAAGACCTCCAATGCCCTGATACATTCTGTCTATTGTCTCTGGCAATTACACCTTTGCTGCTGATACTCTGTCATTTCCTAAATGACATAGATTTGCTTCAATTGCCATTGCCATCCTTTCATCCAATGTTCTTCCCCACAAATCAATTTTTTTCCTCAGCAGCATAGTGCTGTATGACCCTTATTTTTTTTATTATTATTATCACACTCCAGGTAAACTCCAGGCCGATTCCCACCAAGGCAGGGTGGCCCGAAAAAGAAAAACTTTCACCATCATTCACTCCATCACTGTCTTGCCAGAAGGGTGCTTTACACTACAGTTTTTAAACTGCAACATTAACACCCCTCCTTCAGAGTGCAGGCACTGTACTTCCCATCTCCAGGACTCAAGTCCGGCCTGCCGGTTTCCCTGAACCCCTTCATAAATGTTACTTTGCTCACACTCCAACAGCACGTCAAGTATTAAAAACCATTTGTCTCCATTCACTCCTATCAAACACGCTCACACATGCCTGCTGGAAGTCCAAGCCCCTCGCACACAAAACCTCCTTTACCCCCTCCCTCCAACCTTTCCTAGGCCAACACCTACCCTGCCTTCCTTCCACTACAGACTGATACACTCTTGAAGTCACTCTGTTTCGCTCCATTCTCTCTACATGTCCGAACCACTTCAACAACCCTTCCTCAGCCCTCTGGACAACAGTTTTGGTAATCCCGCACCTTCTACTAACTTCCAAACTACAAATTCTCTGCATTATATTCACACCACACATTGCCCTCAGACATGACATCTCCACTGCCTCCAGCCTTCTCCTCACTGCAACATTCATCACCCATGCTTCACACCCATATAAGAGCGTTGGTAAAACTATACTCTCATACATTCCCCTCTTTGCCTTCAAGGACAAAGTTCTTTGTCTCCACAGACTCCTAAGTGCACCACTCACCCTTTTCCCCTCATCAATTCTATGATTCACCTCATCTTTCATAGACCCATCCGCTGACACGTCCACTCCCAAATATCTGAATACATTCACCTCCTCCATACTCTCTCCCTCCAATCTGATATCCAATCTTTCATCACCTAATCTTTTTGTTATCCTCATTACCTTACTCTTTCCTGTATTCACTTTTAATTTTCTTCTTTTACACACCCTACCAAATTCATCCACCAATCTCTGCAACTTCTCTTCAGAATCTCCCAAGAGCACAGTGTCATCAGCAAAGAGCAACTGTGACAACTCCCACTTTATGTGTGATTCTTTATCTTTTAACTCCACGCCTCTTGCCAAGACCCCTCGCATTTACTTCTCTTACAACCCCATCTATAAATATATTAAACAACCACGGTGACATCACACATCCTTGTCTAAGGCCTACTTTTACTGGGAAATAATTTCCCTCTTTCCTACATACTCTAACTTGAGCCTCACTATCCTCGTAAAAACTCTTCACTGCTTTCAGTAACCTACCTCCTACACCATACACCTGCAACATCTGCCACATTGCCCCCCTATCCACCCTGTCATACGCCTTTTCCAAATCCATAAATGCCACAAAGACCTCTTTAGCCTTATCTAAATACTGTTCACTTATATGTTTCACTGTAAACACCTGGTCGACACATCCCCTACCTTTCCTAAAGCCTCCTTGTTCATCTGCTATCCTATTCTCCGTCTTACTCTTAATTCTTTCAATAATAACTCTACCATACACTATACCAGGTATACTCAACAGACTTATCCCCCTATAATTTTTGCACTCTCTTTTGTCCCCTTTGCCTTTATACAAAGGAACTATGCATGCTCTCTGCCAATCCCTAGGTACCTACCTTACCCTCTTCCATACATTTATTAAATAATTGCACCAACCACTCCAAAACTATATCCCCACCTGCTTTTAACATTTCTATCTTTATCCCATCAATCCCGGCTGCCTTACCCCCTTTCATTTTACCTACTGCCTCACGAACTTCCCCCACACTCACAACTGGCTCTTCCTCACTCCTACAAGATGTTATTCCTCCTTGCCCTATACACGAAATCACAGCTTCCCTATCTTCATCAACATTTAAGAATTCCTCAAAATATTCCCTCCATCTTCCCAATACCTCTAACTCTCCATTTAATAACTATCCTCTCCTATTTTTAACTGACAAATCCATTTGTTCTCTAGGCTTCCTTAACTTGTTAATCTCACTCCAAAACTTTTTCTTATTTTCAACAAAATTTGTTGATAACATCTCACCCACTCTCTCATTTGCTCTCTTTTTACATTGCTTCACCACTCTCTTAACCTCTATCTCTTTTTCTCCATATACTCTTCCCTCCTTGCATCACATCTACTTTGTAAAAACTTCTCATATGCTAACTTTTTCTCCCTTACTACTCTCTTTACATCATCATTCCACCAATCGCTCCTCTTCCCTCCCGCACTCACTTTCCTGTAACCACAAACTTCTGCTGAACACTCTAACACTACATTTTTAAACCTACCCCATACCTCTTCGACCCCATTGCCTATGCTCTCATTAGCCTATCTATCCTCCAATAGCTGTTTATATTTTACCCTAACTGCCTCCTCTTTTAGTTTATAAACCTTCACCTCTCTCTTCCCTTATGCTTCTATTCTCCTTGTAATCCATCTACCTTTTACTCTCAGTGTAGCTACAACTAGAAAGTGATCTGATATATCTGTGGCCCCTCTATAAACATGTACATCCTGAAGTCTACTCAACAGTCCTTTATCTACCAATACATAATCCAACAAACTACTGTCATTTCGCCCTACATCATATCTTGTATACTTATTTATCCTCTTTTTCTTAAAATATGTATTACCTATAACTAAACCCCTTTCTATACAAAGTTCAATCTAAGGGCTCCCATTATCATTTACACCTGGCACCCCAAACTTACCTACCACACCCTCTCTAAAAGTTTCTCCTACTTTAGCAGTCAGGTCCCCTACCACAATTACTCTCTCACTTGGTTCAAAGGCTCCTATACATTCACTTAACATCTCCCAAAATCTCTCTCTCTCCTCTACATTCCTCTCTTCTCCAGGTGCATACACGCTTATTATGACCCACTTTTCGCATCCAACCTTTACTTTAATCCACATAATTCTTGAATTTACACATTCATATTCTCTTTTCTCCTTCCATAACTGATCCTTCAATATTACTGCTACCCCTTCCTTTGCTCTAACTCTCTCAGATACTCCAGATTTAATCCCATTTATTTCCCCCCACCGAAACTCCCCTACCCCCTTCAGCTTTGTTTCGCTTAGGGCCAGGACATCCAACTTCTTTTCATTCATCATATCATCAATCATCTGTTTCTTGTCATCCGCACTACATCCACGCACATTCAAGCATCCCAGTTTTATAAAGTTTTTCTTCTTCTCTTTTTTAGTAAATGTCTACAGGAGAAGGGGTTACTAGCCCATTGCTCCCGGCATTTTAGTCGCCTCATACGACACGCATGACTTACGGAGGAAAGATTCTTTTCCACTTCCCCATGGACAATAGAAGAAATAAAGAAGAACAAGAGTTATTTAGAAAAAGGAGAAAACCTAGATGTATGTATATATATATGCATGTGCGTGTCTGTAAAGTGTGACCAAAGTGTAAGTAGAAGTAGCAAGATATTCCTGTTATCTAGCGTGTTTATGAGACAGAAAAACAAACCAACAATACTACCATCATGCAAAACAGTTACAGGTTTCTGTTTCACAGTCATCTGGCAGGACGGTAGTACAGTGGACCCCCGCATAACGATCACCTCCGAATGCGACCAATTATGTAAGTGTATTTATGTAAGTGCGTTTGTACGTGTATGTTTGGGGGTCTGAAATGGACTAATCTACTTCACAATATTCCTTATGGGAACAAATTCGGTCAGTAATGGCACCTGAACATACTTCTGGATTGAAAAAATATCGTTAACCGGGGGTCCACTGTACTTCCCTGGGTGGTTGCTGTCTACCAACCTACTACCCTTATAGGTGATAAATTATAGGTGATAAAACAGACACATGAGCAACTTGTCAGTTCTCTGAACTATTTATCTACACCTTATAGGTACACTGCCTCTGGCCTCTGGCAACAGTGATGGAGTGAGCAATGGCACAAATGTTTCTTTTTTATGGGTCATCCTACTGCCAGTGTTAAAAATTTTACTTCTCTAACTACAAACAGGTACAGTAATTACAAAGCAGCATTTACTTAATAAATCCTAGCACATGAAATAGTCTACCACATATTTGGTTTCCTATTCCAACCCTGAAGTAAAAAAAATCTTACTGTGTTATAAATGGCATTAATCAGTTACCTGGATCAAGGCCTGAGGAGAGGGGTACTCGCGAGCAATTGCCTGTGCAACTTCCACTCCAACATTGTTAAACTGCCGAAGCTGTTGATGCCAGAGTTTTAGCAAGCCCACTCCTGATTTGTCTACCTTCACAGTGTTTGTACTGCTTCCTTCAGCATACCAAGAAAATGATGGTTTTCCCTTTTCATGTCTGCAGGAAAAATAATATAGCTAACAAAACTACAATATCTCAGCAGTTAAGTACTTTCACTGACTTTTACTTAATGTCAACTTTTCTTGCTCATAATGCACATATATATATAAGTAAGATTTGTATCTGAGTTAATCTACAAGGAAAATCTTCATTATCTAAGATAGATTAAGAACATGGTTCATGGAAAAAAAAACTCAATGCTAGGTGTTGTCTGTCAATTTGAAATTCAATGCTAAGTATTGTCTGCCACAAATTCAATGCTAGGTGTTGTCTACCATTTTGAAATTCAATGTTAGGTAGTGTCTGCCACTCTGAAAATTGAAAGACCAGCAGATGATTAGCAATATGGGACCCCTCAGACTTTAATTAATTTTAATTCAATGTTGGCTGAACAATGTTGCATGCAATAAGGCAGATAAAAGTTCATATCAATAAACTATCATTTGCATGTAGTGATGACCCATATGGGGGGAAGGAAAGGGAAGGGAAGGGAAGGGAAGGGAAGGGAAGGGAAGGGAAGGGAGGGAGGGAGGGAGGGAGGGAGATGGAGGGAGATGGAGGGAGATGGAGGGAGATGGAGGGAGATGGAGGGAGATGGAGGGAGATGGAGGGAGATGGAGGGAGATGGAGGGAGATGGAGGGAGGGAGGGAGATGGAGGGAGGGAGGGAGATGGAGGGAGGGAGGGAGATGGAGGGAGGGAGGGAGATGGAGGGAGGGAGGGAGATGGAGGGAGGGAGGGAGATGGAGGGAGGGAGATGGAGGGAGGGAGATGGAGGGAGGGAGATGGAGGGAGGGAGATGGAGGAGGAGATGGAGGAGGAGGAGATGGAGGAGATGAAGATGATGATGATGATGGTAACAAAAAACCTATAATAATAATAATAATAATAATAATAATAATAATAATAATAATAATAATAATAATAATAATAGGTTTTTCTTTACTAAATTACTGTCATCATATTATTGTACACTGACAGCTAAGGAATGAGTGATGGTGAAAGTGTTTACTTCTGAAGGTCATCCTGCACCTATGTAAGACGTGGACAATCAGATAAAGAAAAAAAAACAATTTCAATGTTTTTACTTTGAGTATTATTCTTTATCTCGCTAATAATGTCACATTTGGGCTCTGACATATTCAGTCTATATGAAGACGTAAGCAAAAAACTGATTAGAAAACAGAATATTGGCTCACAATGTTTGGTATATGAAGACAAAAAGTACATAAGTACATTAAATGCTCTATTTAATAGACTAACTTGCAGAGCAGGTGGCCAGTAATGGCAACTGTGGTGGATAGAGAAAAGATCGTCTTGCTCTGATTGTAACAATAATGAACAATTATGCAACCAAAGAACTTTATCCATTGTTTTGAAATCTACTGACCCAGCAGATTTCGGTCCATATTTCCAAAGTCAGTTAATGGAGGGTTCACTGTAATGGACATTAACACTTCATAAAATACTTACTTGAAAGGTGCTTCAGCCACAGCTTTGGTAACTTGGAGAATAAACATGGCTACTTTATTAGCATCCTCCAATAATCTGTGATTGAGGCTACACTGCAGCTGTGCACTCACGAGGGCAGTCTCTATGTCAACTCTGACAAAAAAAAGATGGTTCATTTTTCAAACAAAATGCCCAGCTTATGTATCTTATTTGCAAAAAATTATTAACAAAGCAAGACTTTCCCAAAATCCTGCACATAATATTCATTTAAAAGAATTTTTACCCAAACTGTAATGAAATACAGTGGAACTCCGAGATTTGGCCGTAATCTGTTCCAGGAGCTAGGCCTAAAGTCGAAACAGCCTAAAGTCAAAGCAATATTTCCCATAAGAAATAACGTAAATCCAATTAATCCTTCCAGACAAAAAAAATTATTCACAAAACCCACATTTTTTAAAGAATAACTATACTTTTACATACGCAAAACAATTATAAATACATATAGTAATTAAATGAGTAATGAAATAGATAAATAAACATTTAAAATCACATTTACATACCTTTATTGAAGACTCTTCTTGGTATCTGGTAGATAGGGAGGAGGAAAGAGGGAGGACGTCTCATTGCCTCAACCACTGCCTCCACTACTGCTTCTACCAATGCCTCCACCACTGCCTCCACCAATGCCTCAACCACTACCTCAACCACTGCCTCAACCACTACCTCAACCACTGCCTCCACCACTGTGGCGCACTGCCTCGTATTTTTGTACAATTTCTTTCTTCACTTCTATGGTGTTTCTCGCTTTCTTTACCAAAGGGGTGCCACAAGGAAGTTTCTTTGGGCCCATGGTGGTTTATTGCACAGCCACAATCAATAAAAAAACATTAAACACAATGAATTTATTGTGAAATGTTTGCATGAGCATGCAGGGTAATGTTCACTCAAAGATAAACAGAGCTAGACTGCTTCACGACGCCTGTGCAGGCAGGTATGGGCAGGCAGACAGGTTTGGTACACCGGCAGAAACATAGGGCACAGGTCAAAACTCGGGACAAAATTAAGCCGAAAAAATCAGTCGAAACTTGAAGCGGCCGATACTGAGGGCGGCCGAAATTCTGGGTTCCACTGTACAGTGGTATCTCGAGTTACAAACTTAATTCATTCCAGAAGGCTGTTCGGGTGCTGATACCAAACAAATTTGTTCCCATAAGGAATAACGTAAATTAGGTTAGTCCATTTCAGACCCCCGAAAATACACTTACAAAAATACGCTTACATGATTGTTAGAGCTGGGAGCTGCTCGAAACTCAAGGTACCACTGTATTTATATGCTTTTTACTGTATTTTGCAAGTGAAAATAATTATACTTTTACCAGATATTATTCACCTCTGTTAATCTATTTAAAACTGTGCTAGACTAGTATGATAATTGTCCAGTCTCTTTCAAACAAGAATCTTACTTGCATTTATGTTTACTCTACATGTTCTCTTTTCAGGATATCTTCAAAAGGATCAAACAATGATTTACCCTGAAACAATACAACTGTTTGCAACTAGTTAAATAATTTTTACTAGGCATCATAGTTCAGTTGCACTTTACAATGATTTCTCACTCATCATTCATAGATTTTCCTTCTTGGGTGTCCCATAGCTCAACCACTAGCACACTCAGCTCATATACTAAGGTTCAGAGTTTAAATCTCTGGTACGGCTGGAAAACATTAGGACATGTTTCCATAAGACACCTGCTGTCCATGTTCACCCATCAGTATAAAATGGGTACCTGGGTGTTAGTAGACTGGTGTGGGTCGCAGTCTGGGACAAAACTGACCTAATTTGCCCGAAATGCTCTGCATAACAAGTGACTTTCTATATAGTAGTATGTCATTGATGTCAGCTAGGCCTGTATACCTTGTACATGTACTTGTATAAATCTTTCTTCTTCTTTCAACAAACCGGCCGTATCCCACTGAGGCAGGGTGGCCCAAAAATAAAAACAAAAGTTTTTCTTTTTAAATGTAGTACAGAGGAACCTCAAATATCGAACTTTCTTTGGTCCAGAAGGCTGTTCGAGTGCCTTTACCGAATGAATTTATTCCCATCAGGAATAATGTAAATTAGATTAGTCCATTTCAGACCCTCAAAAATACACTTATAAAAGCACTTACAAAAATACACTTACATAATTGGTTGTGTTGGGAGCAGTTCGATTTTTGAGGTTCCACTGTAATTTGTACAGGAGAAGGGGTTACTAGGCCCTTGCTCCCGGCATTTTAGTCGCCTCTTACAACACGCATGGCTTAAGGAAGAAGAATTCTGATCCACTTTGCCATGGAGATAAGAGGAAATAAACACGAACAAGAACAAGAAAGAAAATAGAAGAAAACCCAGAGAGGTGTGTATTTATATGCTTGTACATGTATGTGTAGTGTGACCTAAGTGTAAGTAGAAGTAGCAAGACATACCTGTAATCTTGCATGTTTATGAGACAGACAAAAGACACCAGCAATCCTACCATCATGCAAAACAATTACAGGCTTTCGTTTTACACTCACTTGGTAGGACAGTAGTACCTCCCTGGGTGGGTGCTGTCTATCAACCTACTACCTATTATTCTTTCTTTCTTTCAACACACCGGCCGTATCCCACCGCGGCAGGGTGGCTAAAAAAGAAAAACAAAAGTTTCTCTTTTAAACTTAGTAATTTATACAGGAGAAGGGGTTACTAGCCCATTGCTCCCGGCATTTTAGTCGCCTCTTACAACACGCATGGTTTACGGAGGAAGAATTCTGTTCCACTTCCCCATGGAGATAAGAGGAAATAAACAAGAACAAGAACTAGAAAGAAAATAGCAGAAAACCCAGAGGGGTGTGTGTATATATATGCTTGTACATGTAGTGTGACCTACGTGTAAGCAGAAGTAGCAAGACATACCTGAAATCTTGCATGTTTATGCGACAGAAAAAAGGACACCAGCAATCCTACCATCATGTAAAACAATTACAGGCTTTTGTTTTACACTCACTTGGCAGGACGGTAGTACCTCCCTGGGCGGTTGCTGTCTACCAACCTACTAACTATTATTTTTTCTTCTCCTTTCAACAAACCAGCCGTATCCCACCAAGGCAGGGTGGCCCAAAAGGAAAAACAAAAGTTTCTCCTTTTACATTTAGTAATATGTATATACAGGAGAAGGGGTTACTAGCCCCTTGCTCCTGGCATTTTTAGTCGCCTCTTACAACACGCATGGCTTACGGAGGAAGAATTCTGTTCCACTTCCCCATGGAGGTAAGAAGAAATAAACAAGAACTAGTAAGAAAATAGAAGAAAACCCAGAGGGGTGTGTATATATGCTTGTACATGTATGTGTAGTGTGACCTAAGTGTAAGTAGAAGTAGCAAGATGTACCTGAAATCTTGTATGTTCATGAGACAGAAAAAAGGACACCAGCAATCCTACCATCATGTAAAACAATCACAGGCTTTAGTTTTACACTCACTTGGCAGGACGGTAGTACCTCCCTGGGCGGTTGCTGTCTACCAACCTACTACCTAGGATTATTATTATTATTATTACATGTATATTATATTTCTCACTCATTATTCACAGATTTTCATGCATCAAGGTTTTATCTATGTCTTTCTTCTTTCTTTCAACAAACCGGCCGTATCCCACTGAGGCAGGGTGGCCCAAAAAGAAAAACAAAAAGTTTCTCCTTTTAAATATAGTAATTTATACAGGAGAAGGGGTTACTAGCCACTTGCTCCCAGCATTTTAGTCGCCTCTTATGACACGCATAGCTTACGAAGGAAGAATTCTGTTCCACTTCCCCATGGAGTTTTATCTATGTCTTCTTTAAGCACACCGGCCATATCCCACCGAGGCGGGGTGGCCCAAAAGGAGAAAAGAAAGTTTCTCCTTTTACATTTAGTAATATATACAGGAGAAGGGGTTACTAGTCCCTTGCTCCCGGCATTTTAGTCGCCTCTTACGACACGCATGGCTTACGGAGGAAGAATTCTGTTCCACTTCCCCATGGAGATAAGAGAAGATAAACAAGAACAAGAGCTAGAAAGAAAATAGAAGAAAACCCAGAGGGGTATGTTTGTACAGGAGGGCCCCGCTTTACGGCGTTTCACTTTACGGCGTTCCGCTAATACGGACATTTCAAATTATGACCAAAACTCACTATACGGCTCCCCCCACCTGACTTTCTAATACGGTCACTGTGCCCCACCCTGTTTGTTTACATTCTTCGTGAGCTCAGTAAGCACTAAGTCTCTCCATTTTGTCTGGAAACTCCAAAATTTCAAATGTTTTTAAAAGTTATTTCATATTTTATATATACTCTGATAATTATACTTATGTATACCTGTACCTAAATAAACTTACATACTGTGCTGGCATGAAGGTACACATTAAAATCGGTAAGTGTCTTATGTCTCCAGACGTCATATTAGTAATGATAATAATAATCATCGAGTCATTTAAATGTCGTATATTACGTTAATATACACATTTTCATTAATCTATCTATGATATTTTTTTCAAAATTATATAATAAACACGATGCATAACATAAATAAGATAAATACACCCCACAGTAGAATAAATAAACATAAATGTGAGATGTGGTAGCAGACGACTTGCACAAGTGACGCCATATTAGAAATGATAATAATAATAATAACAATACTCACCGAGTCTCATTAAATGTTGTATATTACGTTAATATACACATTTTCATTAATCCATCCATGATATTTTTTTCAAAATTATATAATAAACATGATAAATAACATAAAAAGATGATAAATACACCCCACAATAGAATAAATAAACATAAATATAAGATGTGGGAGCCAGATAACTTTGTACAAGTGACGGCAAGAATAACATTTTCCAAAATCTAACATAAGAGAAAATGTGTTAACTGGGGGTAACTGTAGAAAATATTCCTTTCGTATGTATGTAAGTTTATTCAGGTATACACAAATACAGTTACATAGATTATCATACATAACAACATATGTGTAGAGAACCTAGGATAAACCAAAAAAAGTCAGTGTGACTTATTTCCATTGCCTTCACTCAGAGCTTCATTTCTTCTCAAAATGATGTACAGTGGAAGGGAGTGTTCTTCTTTATTT